TGAAAATGGGCTAATTCAGTCATTTTTCTATACTGAGAACCAAACACAGTCATACAGTCTTTAAGATCTGCCAGTTGAGTCTGTCATTACATAGAAATGTTTAATGCAGAAACCTTGCACTAGATTTATAAGCAGCCTTTTACTGTCCAATTAACTGTTTTTTTGTGATTTTAACGCATTAGCGTCCCTATGGAAATTTGCTGATGACAGTGCCAAGCTAGCAGGGTTCTATAATCACAGTGGATGGCAATTCGCACTTAAACACAGACATGTGAAGACATTTTTTTTTTAAGCTTGAGCACTAAAATATGGAGAAAAGGTTTGCTCACCGTAGAGCACGTGTGTCAGGCTCCAGTCCTTGCAGGCCAAGACACCTCAGACTTCAGGCCTCATTAAACACACCTAAATCATTTACTCTAACTTTTGTCTGTTTTTTCTGCCTAATCTATGAACATTTTTATTTCTGCCAAACGTATCACTGCTGTTGATACAGAACCTCGTTTCTCCATTTTTGCCATTTTTCAGTTTTTTACATAATTTGAAAATGAGCGTTTCCCTTTACATTGTGTGTAAATTTTATGATAAATGGACCAAAAGAACGGCCCAGTCAGTCACTCTGTCTATCTAGCTATCGCTCTCTCTGTCTATCTGTCTATTGCTCTCTCTGTCTATCTGTCTGTCTATCTATCACTCTCTGTGTCTATCTATCTATCTATCGCTCTCTGTGTCTATCTGTCTATCGCTCTCTGTGTCTATCTGTCTATCGCTCTCTGTCTATCTATCTGTCTATCTATCGCTCTCTGTCTATCTATCTGTCTGTCTATCTATTGCTCTCTCTGTCTATCTATCTGTCTGTCTATCTGTCTATCGCTCTCTCTGTCTATCTATCTGTCTGTCTGTCTATCGCTCTCTCTGTCTGTCTATCTGTCTGTCTATCTATCGCTCTCTCTCTTTGTCTGTCTGTCTATCTATTCCTCTCTCTCTGTCTATCTATCTATCTGTCTATCTATCTCTATCTATCTTTCGCTCTTTCTTTGTCTGTCTATCTATCGCTCTCTGTCTGTCTATCTATCTATCGTTCTCTCTGTCTGTCTGTCTATCTCTCCCTCTTTTTCTGTCTATCTATCGCCCTCTCTTTTTGTCTGTCTGTCTGTCTGCCTATCGTTCTCTCTGTCTGTCTTTCTATCTGTCTATTGCTCCCTCTTTTTCTTTCCTTAGGCGATTTGTAAAATCAGTGTTCCATCAGATTCATTACTTCTAATGGATCATATCTGACACCAAATCCATCTTTAAAATCTAAAGCCAGCAGAGAAAAAACAGAAGACTTCAAGCAACCTTTCATAACTATTCCATGTTGTGCTCAAATCGCTTCTGGAAAGTTCTGCATTATCAAAAACTTTCAAGGTCTTACTTGCTTTTTCTACCCAGGCACACCGTCAAGGCTTCCAATGAATTGCTAGAACAGTGTCTGAAGCAGAGACATTAACAGGAGACCACGACGAGAAGAAGAAGAAAAGAAACTACATGCAGACACGCACACACACACACACACACACACACACACACACACACACACACACACACACACACACACACACACACACACTTCACCAGAATTCAAAGACTCCATTCACAGGGCAGATAAACGCTTATGTGCTGGGACAATGAAGACACATTCACGGATTATAAATAACATTTCTTTACATCTCCTTAAATTCCGCCAATGAAGGCACACACATGCTCCTGCTCAGCCTCATCAGCACACAATTAGTTATCGGGAAGTCCATTCACATCCTTCATTGCTCCTGCTTTGCCTACACTGCCTTCTCAATGTATTCTTCTCCACAGCTGTCTTCATCTGAGTCTTCCTCACAAAGGCATCACTCCTTCGTCTCTCTCCCTCTTTCTCTGAACGTGGCCTTTATGTTCCTCTTTTCATTATCATACACTTTACGTTCTCAGACATACCGCATGTTCTCCATTGTCATCACTGCATCCTTTTTCAATCACTTCTCATCAGAGAAAGACGGTTCTTCAGTAAAGAAAATGGTTCTTTATGGAACTACGAACACTCAAAGAACCCTTGATTCAATGTTTTTTTGCATGATGAAATGGTTCCACAGATTGATGGTGAATGTGCTGCATGGTTGAAAAGGTACCAAAAAGGTTCTTCTATTGTTACAATGTCAAGCCTGTAACAATAGCAGAACCCTTTTTGGTGCTAAAAAGAACCCTTTTCAAAAAGGTTCTATACAGAACTATATAAAACCCAATCTCCATCAATCTCAAGACCCACTTCGCCATGCGAAAAAAAAACATTTAATCATGCAAAAGGTTCTTTGAGTGTTCGGAGTTCCATGAAGAACCACTTTCTTTACTAAAGAACCCCTAAAGAACCATCATTTTAAATGTGTACCTTATTAAGTCTTCTTTCTGCTGTTTTTTTTTAAACAAGTGAAGAACTCTTTGTCAAAAACATATTCAAACATGATTTGTTTTGTCAAGCCAACTTAATTATATACCAGTAAATAACTATCGATATCAAACAACATTGAAAAACAGGTGTTTTCCCTTCAACAGCAAAACCACACTTTGAACAGAAAGCAGGCACATCGACATGGCAGCCACGTTTCCCTTCGATCCCTACAGAGATCACACAAATCTTCCACACAGAACGTATTATTCATAAGAGAGCAGTGTTATGACCAGACGCCTCACAAACCCTGATCAATAAAACTGTGGCTTGTGTTGTCGAACTGACAGCAGTGCTCAGCACTGATGGAAAATGTGAAAATACTTGGGTTAGAAGTGTGTCTGGTGCTTCATTTGCAGTCATACTGATGCTGAAAATTCACACAGTGCAGAAAATTGTCAGAATGATGACTTGAAATTGTCAACGAAGCAGTGGAATAAAATCTAAAATTAACCTCCTCACTACCTCATTCACTTTTATAAGCTAGAGTATGCTTTTCAGTTTATTCACCTTATTGATTTATTTGTTTACTGTTTAAAAAGCATTATTTCGTATAGTTAATCATGATAAAAACACATTTTGCTCAAAGTCAACTTTAAAAATGGAGTTTTACAGTTTTCCACTCAGAGCAACACTGGCTGCCTCTGACTGCTCTGTGGTTGTAGCATCTCGCTCTCGCTTATCCAGCTCGAGGGTTTATGTCACATTAGAGGCTCTCGAGGGGAACTGGAGTTTTCCACTTTGCTATTGCTTCTGTTACTTTTATCCACAGATGCCCCTTGCACACTGTTCCGTCATCCAGTGCTTACATTACTGATATTTTTGATATTGCTATCATCAGTGCTTGTAAAGGGTACTTCAAACTTACTGCACTTCACCATGACAGGCCCTTTTCACAACTACATAAACACGGTGAAACAAGTTCCGCCACTGTCTTAGGGACAGTAACTAACCTCAGAACTACAGCCGTTCACTTACTTTGTTTCATGCACTTTATCTTTATCACAGTTTCCAAGATTAAAATCCGAGAATGTGTGATAAATCGATGGATAGATGAAAATAACCATAACCAAAATGCTGGATTTGCCATGTTAGCTGGAGATGTTAAAACAGCTCGCTAACAATAAACTAGTTAAAGTGGCAAAAAGCTAAACACAGGCACATCAAGGCAGGGGGGCGTGCCAGGTCATCAGGGTCCGGAGCGCCACTGTAGACGTTCTCTTATTTGCATTTTTAAGCACTCAGCTGGCTTCCTGATACATTTAATCTGCAATGAAAAACTGTCAAACACTAAAAAGTTGCAAGGCTGAAGTCAGCTTCTTGTTTGAATTTTCACGTTCCACCTTAAATGGTGCAGCAGTTATATTCCGGTGCCTCAGGCACCACTTAAGGTGGAACCACTGGCACCAGTGAACGAATATCTACTCTCCGCCGAGCACTCACTCTCTTAGTCGCGGATCAATTTTGAGGAAGAAAATGAAAACTGTTCCTCTGAAAGCGGCTGCAGCAGCAACTTTTAAGCACAAACTGCATTCAGTGTAACGTCAGTCAGCAGCGGTGAAACGCAGACACAGAGGTTCTTTTACTCCACATGACAAAGTTTATTCCTTTATAAATCACACAAACTCGCTTTCCTCCGCTCAACATCAGCAGACAAACAACTGAATGAGGCTGTTTTTGCTTCAGGCTTGAACACTTGAGTGAGCTGTTCTCGCTCGACTCATCATTGCTTTAGCAGAAGCAGCTTTATCCTGCAATGAGAACTTCCAGCAGAAAAAATGCAGAAATGTGAAAATTCCTTGCTCATTTCTTCTCTTCCTTCACCTCCTCTCTTTACTTCCTTACCACTTCTGTTCCTCCATCTCTTCCTACCTTCTCTTCTCACTCATCTCTGGTCCGTCTCTCACCTTCCGCTCTGTTCCCTCACCTCGTCTCCTCTTCTCCCTCCATAATTTCCATCACCTCTTTTTTTCCCTCCTCATCATTTCTCCTTCAACTTCATCTCATCTGCTCCCTCCCTCACCTCCTTTCCTTCCCTTCCTCCCTCATCTCCTCTCCTCCATCCCTCACCTCTTCCATCATCTCTGGCTGCTCTCACCTCTTTTTCTCTTCCCTCGCTCATCATTTTGTTCTTGCGTCACCTCCCCCGCCTCCGTTTTCCCTCCCTTTCTTCTGCTTTTCACTCACCTCTCTGTCATTGCTCACCTCCTGTCTTTTTTCACCTTGCCTTCTCCTCCCTTCTTGCCTTCTCTCTCTTCCATTTTCCCTTCACTGTCCTCTCCTTCCTTGCTCATCTCATCTCTTTCTTCACCTCCTCTTATCCCTCCTGTTACTTCTTCTCTTCTCCTCCCTCTCTAACCTCTTTCCTTCCTCACCTCCTCTCCTCCCTCCCTCCCTACTTCTCACCTCATCTCTTGCTGCTTACCTCCTTTTACCTTCTCTTTCCTCGCTCCCTCATCTACATTCCTTCCCTCCTCCCTCCCTTACTTCTCTTCTTTCACCTTTCCTCTTCTTCTCACTCTCTCACCTCTTCGTCGATCTTCTCCTCACTGGCCTCCACTCGCCTCTCTCGGAGGTAGCGCTGCGTCTTCTCCAGCTGGTAGTTGATGAGCTCCTCTATAGCATCTCGCTCCTCCTTGTCCACGTACTCCTGCACGGCTTTGCCCATGCCCTGCTCCGTCAGCAGAGACAGCTGCATGTTCTGCACACACACAGCAATCCATACAGATCACACACCGAGTTACACACACACACACAAGTAATCCATACAGATCACACATTAAATTACACAAACACAGATTTGGTATCAGTGAAATACACACAGATTAACACAAAGCACTGTGCAAAAGTCGGAGACCACCCTTCAGAGATCACCCACCCTATTTATTGGCCATTAAGTACAAATTACTCATTGTTCAGCCTCAGGAAAAAAAAAACAGAAAATTACACAGAAGTCTTAACAGCTAAATATAATTATATATAATCAGTATTTAGTGTTTCCATGCCTGGTCATTATTAGTTTCCATTTAACTTTTTTTTCAGTGTTTGCAGAGAAATTTGCAGGGATATTTTTTCTACACCTCCCAAGTTCAGTCTTAGAAACTTCTCATGATCCAAGTAATCCAAACACACTCAGTGATGCTGAGGGTTCGACTCAGGGTGGCCAGTCTACTGCTCTGAGAACATCAGCAACTTTGATTTGCACATTTTTTTGTTTATTTTCCTTGTTCAGTAACATCTTCTTGACAGCTACACATCCTTTCAGACCCACAGCGCTGAGTCGTCTTCTCACAGTGGAAGGATGGACAGAAACACCTGTGGATGTTTTCAGATCTGATCAGCTTGATTTTCTCCTCTCTCTCAGAGATGAAAGCTTTAAGTGCTGTTTATCTGATGGGGGCAGTTTTGGGGTCGACCAGCTCTTCCAGGTGGTTTTTGAAAACTCCTGTTTTTTCACTTATTTTCCTTTGACTTTCTCCTTCCTTATGCAAGTGGGTTATTCTATATCTAACCTGTTTTTTTTGTGGTCCTCCAGGTCTTGCATGGTTGTTAGGGGCCCCATTTTCTCTGTATCTTTTTTAATTTTTTCCCCAATTTTCTCCCCAAATTAGTAGTTTCCAATTCCACCCAATATACCATCAGTGCCAGGAGGGCGAAAGCTAGCACAGGCTTCCTCCAAGACCCGCGTAGCCAGCAACTGCATCTTTTTGAACTGCCACTCACACAACGTCACCGGACAGCTGAACGCGCTCGGAGAAAAAGCACCAATCGCCAAATCTGTTACATCAGCAAACAGACGCCTGAGCTGACTAGCATTGTGTTCACGTCATGGGGGGAGAAGAGGGAGCCATCCTACCCACCCAGAGAGATCGAGGCAAATTGTGACCAACGCTTAGATGGTTGCGCCATTTCTCTCTTGTTTTCCTTTGACTTTCTCCTTCCTTATGCAAGTGGATTCATCTTATATCTAATCTCCTCAGAAAACATCTCCTGAAAAATAAAGAGCTAGTACTTAATGACCACTTAAAATAATAATGGATGATCTCTGACTTTTGCACAGTACTGTACATAATGAGTGTGTAACCATTCTGAACAAACTAACGCACACAAACTACATAAAGACACACTATGCATCCATGAAATCCACTGTATTCTCTTTAAGTCACAGTCAGACACTTAATCACTTAGCAACAGGAAAGAAAAGAGATTCAAAGTAATATTCAGTTAAAAAAAACACTTACAGTACATGTAGCTGTTATCACCAGTCTAAAAATGACTATAAGATTAGTCAAGCGCAAATGTGCATGTGTTCCGTTTAATGTTGTTCATTACGGAGCACTGAGAAAATAGATAAATCTAATTATTTTCTATTTTTTCTTGATTCATGTGTCAGGAACAGGTGCCCAACACGAACAGCAATGTGTCTGTGTGTGTCCTAATGAGCTCATTCCAGCAGGAAGCAAAATAATGTAGCCTACATAGACCTAAATTCTAAATGTGCACTTGACTGCATTTATTAATCTGTACTGTTTTTGTAACCAACATCAAGCATGAAATAACATCAATAAAATTAGCGTTGCTTAGACGCTGACCATCCCTGACTCTTGTTGGCACAATAACCCTTCACATCCCACCTCTGCAGCTGCTCTGCATTTCACTGTAATGTCCGTGGACGGCTTGGATTTAGTGATGTGGGTTTGTCGTTTTAGATCCTTAAACATTTAACTTTTTAATGAAAATACTCTACTTCTCAACTTGTATCAACAATGTTTAAAGTGCTTTATCAGATACAAGGAGAGAAGAGTCTGACAGGATTTCAGCTCAGCTAGACAGCAGCGATGATATGGAAGATAATTCGGAGTGTAAATCTTATAGAATCTTTGTGAAGTGCTGAACATTAGCCAAATCACAACCTCCACTGTTAGTGAAATAATGGTAAGTGGACATAAATCTTGTTCAGTTTTGATGAGTTTGAGTTTTATTTTCATTATTTTCATGTTTGACACCAATTTGTTTCAAATTCTCGAGACTGTTCAAAGGTTTTTGTAGTAAAAAATACTCAAAAAGTCAAGATTTTTGCATTAGACACTGCAACATTATGACATTTATTATTACATCACTAAAAATTGTAAAGTTCATGAAATCACTGCAATATAACGATGGACACATGAACGTTCTTGTCCACATTCAGCTGTCCACGGTGCTCAGCAACTACAACATACTCCAAATAAACTATATTTCTTGGTGGAAGACTTATCACACTCACTACTCCACTGAAAATGAGTAGCATGGATCCTTTCGTACTAAAGTTCTGTATCTAACATCAAACAAGTTACATCAGACATTTCAACCAGGTTTTTGCTCTAACCATTTGATCCGTTGATTGCTAGATCCTAATACATCGTCTTGAACACTGGGTAGGCCTCACAGGCACACTTTGAGAATGGTTTAAATCACATTACATTAATAGACAGTTCATGGTTTCATTGGGAAATCAATCATCAAAAAATGTAACATTTCTTGTGGAGTCCCACAAGGTTCAGTTTTAGGGCCTTTACTTTTCTCTTTGTACATATTACCTTTAAGGAATGTCATTAGCAAACATGACAGCGCTTTTCATAGCTTTGTTGATGACACACAATTCTACATACTGATTCCTTCTGATGATCAAGCCTCTGTAGACAGACTAACCAGCTGTGTGTCAGATATTTCTCAGTAGACGTCACATAACTGATATTCGGTACTAAAACTCAGAGAAAGGTGCTTTATGAGAACCTTGGTTCTTCAGTGTTGTATACCAAACCTGATATATGAAATCTAATCTTAGAATCTGAGCTCTGTTTTATTCCGCATGTAAACGCAGTCAAAGTTCGGCCTTTTCGATCTCAGAGCGACGAAGAAAAACTTGTTCATGCATTTGTTACAAACAGAGTTGATCACTGTAATGTTCTTCTTACTGGGTTTTCTAAGAAAACAATACATCCTATATAACTCGTACAAAGTGCAGCAGCACGAATGGTAACAAAAACAAAAAAGAAAGATCACATCACTCCCTTTTGAAGGAACTGTACTGGCTACCTGTGTCTTTCAGGATGGATTTTAAAGTTCTGCTACTAGTTTCTAAACCTCTAAATGACCTAAAAGCACCACGTTAGTTTACATTTATGTTCCAACACAGACATACTGACTTTCTGCAAACACCTTCTGTAAAACACCACAGAAAATGTGGAGAGACTCTTTCAGTTTTTGTGCTTCTAAACTGTGGAAGCTTTTATTAGCCAGTCATGGTCAGAGCTCACTTTCAAGAAACATTTAAAACATGTCTCTTTACCTTGGCATTCAATTAAAATTCTACATCTCTTTCATTCATCTTTTTAATCGGATCTGTCACTTTCTTATATGATTTTAAATTAACACTTATAGTTTCTCCTATCACTGTGAAATATTATCACCTGTTTACAGGGCTTTACACTATTATTTAGTGTAACGCCCTTTGAGCTGCCACTGATATGAAAAGTGTTCTATAAATAAAAGACACTATTAAACTGCTCTGTGTAGGAGTATGCATTCAGTCTCACACCAAACTTCTTGCCTTGCTATTCATGTCATCACGCTCGCTCTGGCCTGCGTTCTCTCACACAGCGGTAAACAACTGGCTGCCGCTCCAGACACCATGAAAAACACTCTAGTTTTTTACAAATTCTGAGACAGAGTAGGGGCAATAGCCTGAAAACACAGTATTTTTCCAAACTCTCTTTCCACAAATATTCTGGAAACTAATCAAATCGAATTCCATACTTTTTCTGTACTGCACAGGAAGTCAGGGGTGTCCAATCTTGTCCGCAAATGGCTGGTGTGGATGCAGCTTTTCACTCCAAACAAGCTGCAACACACCTGACTCCACTAGTTTAATCAGTCGGTCTTAGTCTTCAAACATTTCATCAGGTGATCTCCTGCTCTGCTGGAGTGAAACCCTGCAGCCTCACCGGCCCTTTGCGGATAAGTCTAGACAGCAATTTTTGATGGGCTGGCTATGTTTTTGGGAGGTCATGATGGCTGTGCAGCACCATGATGGCAGAACGCTAACATGCACATTTCTCATTACTATTTATTGATTTTTAAAAGAGCGTTTTTGAATGTTCCAACCAAGTTGCAAAGTCTGGGGCTGGTGGTTTACAATACAACTCCTTGAATTAAATATTTCTGTTAGGTATGTTAGCCTAATGTACAGTTACATCATTCGTCATTTATTTTAGAAGTAATCGTACTGTGCTGACCTGTGCTGGTTGCACGAAGGCAATCATATTGTCAAGCAATACATTTTTCCAAAGGCGCTGTGTCCTGATATAGCACAAGCATAAACCCAACACTTCCTTATAAAGCATGCATCCGCTCTTCCCCAGCACATTTACCCTAATAAAGATAACTTCAGTTAAAATCAGACAGGTGAGAGATGAACACACAGTTGAAGAAAACATCACCAGCAAACTAAAAACCAAAACCATCAAGCGTCCTAAAATAAAGCATACTGCCACGGTAGGCGTGGAAATGTATTTATTTATTTTTATTATAATTATTTTTATTTCTGTTTGTCTTTGAAAACTGACATCATCTACTCTGTGGGGGCAGGTCTCTCTTTTACAGCTCCTCAGGCACATTCTTTATATATCTGTACCTTAAAAGGAGCCTGACTGAAAGCCTGAAAGCCTGAAAGCCTGAAAGCTTGACTGAGGCAAAGGAGCATAATACTGATGTTTAGTAATGATATGGAAAGCGTCAAGATTATGGTCAATATACGGTTAATATTAGCTTTTTGTCCACTGTTCAGCTAGTAAAATTCCCATCTTTAGTCAAAAAGGCTGCCTAAATTTTGTCATAACTGCTCACGGGGCCCCCTAGTGCCTCGGGCACCTGGACACGCACCCATAAAACCTACAGGGATGAGCTGGGTTGGCCCTTACTGCTGATAACTCTATTGTTGATAGGCTTTGTTACTTGCCAGATGTAACCTGGGGGGGGAGCCCAATGGGTAAACTGAATTTGAAGAGCGCGACTCTAGTGCCTTCAAATTCCTCTGTGGGTGTCCAAGTACTTGAGTCAATGTTTGTTATTGTGTAATGCACAATGGCACATTAGCACAATCATTAAAAAAAATCATCATTTGCGGTACCCAGCATGGCAGAGCAGCATCACACTGCACTCCACAGTACCTGCCTGCAGCTGATTGCTGTTTAATTGCGTTTGTCATTTTGAAATGATTTTTTATAGATCATACGCTCCTGGACATCTGATATTTACAAACTCTGGAACTCTCTGAACTCTGCTGACCAATTTTAGAAGATACTGTACTTGTTCACTGCAGCTCACAGCTGACATCCTTTCACTATTATTTAGTGTTTTATGTTGTATTACTGTTCATTTTCCTTGTTTAAAGAACCTACTGTTCTCTCTTTTATCTCGTTTAATGAACCAGAGTTAATTATATTTTGTACGTTTGCTACAGATCAAATATTTGGAAGCAATATTAACTTTGTACAAATACTGCAGGCCTACAGAACTTGATCAGTCTGTGCTCACATGTGAACACCTGTATTCAGGCCTATACAAGCTAAACAACAAAACTGTGGTCCAGTCTTGGCCTGCTTGACCCCAGCTTCAGTTCACTGCCGGTGGGAATGCATTTTTATAATGGTCTGAATCAAACAAAGGAATTCAACACCAAAGTGTAGTTTTCTCAGAGCTTTACTGACTGTATAACCTGCCTGTTTTAACACTTCAGTCATCACAAACACTCATATCGTTCTTGCAGCACAATCTGCTGTTAATAACATCAGAGCAAGATATGCTTTTGATTTTGGCACATGGATCACAGAGCGTTTTATTTATTTATTTATTTTTGCTGAGCATCAGTTAAATTTAAATTGGTCAACAACACAAAGATGCAGAGATTAAATTATCTTTATTATTATTGCTTTGACTGTGATGCACATTGACATTAAGCTTCTCTACTTTCTGCTTTTCATGGTTGTAAATGTGGAAGCAACTGAGCATTTGCATGCCTGACCAATAAACAAACACTAATGCTGTAGCCATCAACTAATAGGGCACTTGGGCGCAAATGTTTGGTTGGTCCCTTTCTGGAACCTTTTTTTGGTGGTCAGGGAAATTTTAATAACAGCATAGCAAGTTATATGAGATCTGTGCAGCACCACGATGCCAGCGTACCAACAGTGGTGTTGGGCAACGTCTATCATTTCTTTTTTTTTTTCTTTTTTTTGTTAATCATCCCCTCACGTCAAAGACCTTTTTTATACCATTTGATGAAAAAGTAAAGATGAATTCAGTTGTAAGCATATTATTACCCCAAAACTGTCGTGCATACAGAAACAACCTGTGCAAGTTAACAGCATGATGTCAGCAAAAATATTAAAAATTATCAAAAATTTAAATTAGTCTTGTTAATTTTAGCAATTATCGCTCCAGTTTTAGCCTTTTCCAATTCCTGCTTACTATCTAAACCTCCTCTGTTGCACAGCAGTAAGCGTAGCCATTAGTATCGCTAAAAGTAGTGAAGCTATAAGTTTAACTACATTTCCCAATAGTGTGGCTGTAGCATCGCTATTTATCAAATCAAGCTGCTTTTTCTGTAATGAAGCACTTTTATCTATCAAGTAGCGAAGTACTCTGACAAACACTACATCATTTGATATGGGCCTGAGCCACTAGGGGGCTTCCATGAGCAATTATGACAAAATCTGAACAGCTGTTTTGTCTGGTGGTGGGAACTTTCCCAGCAGAATAGTGATAAAAAATGAACAAATTCAATCTTACGGCTGATCATAATTAATCTTGATGCTCTCAATAACATTTGTAAAAGTCTGCTTCATTTTCTCCTCCATTCACTGCTTAGCAACCATTCCACTGTGCACCATTACCTTGGTCAAGCTTTCAGGGTTTTTTTTGTTTTGTTTTTTGTTTTTTTTGTATTAAGCTAGTTTCCCTGTGAATGTACTTGTAAGCTTCAGATATACAAAAGATGTGCCTGAGGTATCAGTAAAAGCAATACTTGAAATTTCAAAGGAGTGGAAGATGCTCAATTTCAAAGACAAATAGTAATAAAACTCAGCCTGAGTTGAAGCAAAGTTGCTGCATCGTTGTTTGCAGAGATAACTGTCTACTTTAAAGGTAACATATAGTTGCTGTCGGAAGAAAACTTATCTCCATTTTTCAGTTTTTGACCTCATTTGAAAATACTTGTTGTCCTTTACATTATATGTAAATTTCATGATGAATGGACCAAAAGAACCTGCCAAAAATGACTTGGGGGAAAAGTCTGGTTCCATTGACTTACATTAAAAGTAAAGAAGGATTTTTTTCCTTCTCCTGTAAAGTTATCATCTTGGAAATACGAGGTTTTCTTCCGACAACAGCGACATACAACATAAGTGACAAGGAAAGCTCTTCACTTCAATATGCTCAATTCTGATCGTTCTCCGCACAGGAATAATGCCAGCTCCTAAACGTCAACAGCGGCAAAGGACACGGTCATCAAAACAATAAGAGTGGATTCTTGTATTCACACACCTCAATGTGAAGGTCACAGACAGATTCCACTCGAAACCTTGAACTCAAGCACACTTCACAAAACCTGAATCGCTCTCATCAAAGCTGTTCTACTTCAGCGGGCATACGCTTTCTGCTGCAGGATGGAGCTCATGGTCAAACGTGATCAGGACGTTTTCATGGAGCAATAAAGAGAGAAAGAAAAGAGAGAAAGAGAGAAAGAAAGGAAAAGCCTGGATGTACAGATATTCACGATTAGTGTTCTTTGCATCATGAAAGTGTTCTTTCAGACTGATGGAGAATGTGCTGTATATGGATCTATACAGAACCTTTTTGAAAATGGCTCTATATAGCACTCAAGCTTGTATCAACAGAAGAAACCTTTTGGGTGCTACAGCATATCTACAGCACATTCTCAACCAATCTGAAGAACCCTTTCATCATACAAAGGATTCTTTGAGTGTTCATGATTCGATATAAAACCATTTTCTTTACAAAAGACCCCTTGAAGCACCATCCTTTTTAAGAGTGCTCTGTACAGCTGTAGTTTTGTCCTCGTTTGTCTTTCAACAGCAGTCTCTGTAGTTTAGTGTCAGCAGGAACCGCATTTGAGGCTAAGGCATCCGAGGAGCTTATGTGTGTCTTCTCTGAGTCGTTGTCTGGCTGGTCGAGCTGTAGCTGAGACAGACATTGTGCATTTATTTTTTTTTGTAATCTTGTTCTTTGGTGACTCAAACTGTTGAATAGACCATCACGTACCGAGAGAGCTTAGATTTAGGCTCTACAGGCAGCCCTGTCTACAGACAATTAGCATTAAAGCTGTTTCATTCAAAACAACACATTGAGAAACTGAGCTAACACTGAGCACTGAAGCTAAAAGCAGGCGGTGATGTACATGGTAGGACAGTACTATCTCACAACAGCCTATTTTACAAAAAGATCCCTTTATTAACGTTCATATCTCTCTATTCTATTCAGTCAAACAGTGTAATGTTGAAACAGACAGACCTTGGTAGCAAATGTCGACTTTTTGCATGTTTTTAGCTGACCTGCGGGTCTCCACCTGTCTTGGGGAGGTGGTAGGGATTCTGTGCCTACCACCAAATTTCGCAAAACGACAGGTGAAGTAGTTTGCAAAAGGGGTTGAGTTACTTAATATTATATTATTATGAACATTTTAATAAATCAATGAAACTGTTAATGACTGTGTTCACACGCACAGATTTTTGCTAATCTAATTAAATACATTCTGATTCTAGATTAAGACTGAAGTGTTTATGTGCTCACTCTACTCAACAAAACAGGCTAAGATCACACCGTTTAGGTCTAGTGGGAATCTGCCAAAGCACAATGTTTAAAAGCGCTGATGACTTTGTGTCTGACTGTCATGGAGTCAGTAATGCTTCTCTGTGTGAGCAGAGCCTCCTTCACTGCCAGCTTGAGTTGTCTGTTCATTAGTGCGGCAGCTACACTCGGCTTACATCACATGGTATTAGCAGGTATTGGTATGTGGGGACATTATAAGGTCTCAGTGTGTGTTTGTACTTTCATTTCCATTAAAGCTGAGCTATGGGGACATTTTAAGGTCTCCTAGTGTGTTTTGTCCGAAAGGTTAAGTTACTCCTCTCTCACGTGGGAGAGCAGGTTCAGTCCTAGGGCAGAGAAGTAGGCTTGTAACAGTTTGTGGTGGTAACGTAATGACGTCTCTCTGGCGCTGCATGTATGTGCTCATTAGATCTGCCTTTGCTGCTCTAACGATGTGTTGTCACATTGCGATAAAGATTAAAATATGATTTATGTTACAGCCCTAATCACAGCCAAAGATTATTCAACAGCACAATGGTTCTTAGTGACTTGGCACAGTAAAACAGATGTCAACTGTTGTGAGGCGGTCAAAGGTGGGCAAACATCGAGTATTTTACAACAGCTTCAAAAGTGGCTCAAGCAAACAGATTTAAAAAACGGATCAGTTTTATAATGGTTGTTGAATACCTTAATACTGTGAAACTGTGACTAGGTTACCATACCATTACATAAACCCCTCCCTACATACACACACAAACACCTTTTCACCTTTTCAGCAGTCTGGAAGTATTCCTTGACGAGATCCTCCACTCGCAACTGTAGAACCTCCGAGGATGGTCGAGAGAGAAGCATATCAAAGTCTATAGCCTCCTCTGCAACACACAGACACAATACACCTACAGTCAATCATGCATATGAATCCATAACACACCAATGAGAGCACTCACGCTCCATTAACATTCTCAGCTGGTTTAATAATAAGCAGCTGAAAACACTTCAACAGTTCCGCACCATTAACAAAATGTGAAAAAAAAAAAAAACCTGGAGACAGTCTGTGCTGTATGAATATTCATTAGCCGTCAGAAAAGACAACATGTGGACAATCTATTCATAAAACAATCACGTCAACATTAATTAATTTTAATATACAGTCCAGTCTTTGTAGTTTGCATATGTTAGTGTACGCAGACTGAGAGTGTGTGTCCTTTGTGCCTGTGTGTACGATGTGCAGGTACTTTGTGTGTGTGTGTATGTACACCGTATGTGCCTGCAGGTTCTCCGTTTATGTACTTTGTATGCGCATGTATGCATGTTCTGTGTATGTACTTTGTGTATGTACTTTGTGCCTGTGCATGCAGTGTGCGCGCGCGTGCACTGTGTGAGTACTTCGTGCAAGTGTATCTTGCCTTTGATGTTGTCTTTGGTTTCTCTGTGTCTGGTGAAATGCAGGATATCTTTGGGATTCGCAACTCGATCCACAAACTTCTGACTAAACCGCATTGTGGTAAACGGCTCAAAACCTCCACTGTAGTCCACCTGCACAGAGAAAGAAAGAAAGAAAGAAAGAAAGAAAGAAAGAAAGAAAGAAAATTCTGTTATTTTAGGAGTCAAAAATGATTAAATAAGTGACTATGAAGCTTCTGTTACTGTAAACATTTTAATGTTCAGCACTGGGTAGCAGCATAGACAAAGCATAGCATGTAGCAAAGCTATACTTTTGACTGCATTGTCCTGTGGTGATGTGGCAGCCCTGTTATTTTTCAAATCAAAAAGCTTTTCAATAGCAAAGCTCTTCTGTTCATCAAGTAGCAGAGTAGCGCTGAAGGCTGCATGCATAACAGTGTGAACTTTCAGCAGCCTAACAGCACCAAAAGGATAAAGACTAAAGCTTACAGATCACAGCCAGAAAGAGAAAATTCTCATCAAATAGTGATGAAAATGATATGTGAATAACACAGCAGTGCTGTACTGCAAACTAAGTAAATATATGATTATATTCATATTCATTCTATCATTTAAAGAAAAAGGTAACAAAGAATATTAAATCATATATATACAACATGTTATTCAGTTATAATGGGGCCTATAAAAGCAGTTAGGCTGAGCTAGAGTAAATTCCTCACTGTATCTGCTGTGATTTACTGTCTGTAAAATTTGCAGTATTTTGCGCACAGCTCAAGTGTCCCGGCTGGTTAGCTAGATTATGAAAACTGTGAAATTACAATACTACATGCTTTTTCAAAGGCATCTTTAACTGAACCTCAGAGCGACTTTGCTGCAACAACAGAAAACACCTTATATTTAAATATGTAAATCACACAAAGCTGGGAGGACTATGAACACACGTCGCCACGAACCTGCACCAGAAGAAACTCATGAACACAAATTGCGCAAAACGACAGGTGAAGTAGTTTGCAAAAGGCGTTGAGTTACTTAATATTATATTATTATCTTTTATTACTATTATTATTATTCTTTTTCTTAGTTTATGAAAATTTTAATAAATCAATGAAACCGTTAATGACTGTTCACACGCACAGATTTTTGCTAATCTAATTAAATACATTCTGATTCTAGATTAAGACTGAAGTGTTTATGTGCTCACTCTACTTAACGATCTGGAAAATCTTCATTTACATGCCCCCTACAAGTAATCTCATCCAAAATTACGCGCATGTGTAGAGCAACACAGTGTAGACGTTACCATTACAACGAGCATCAGATGAGTCCAGTCAGAGTGAGACAAGCAGCAGTGAGCTACCTGGGTTTCCAGCTGGAGTGCTTGTGTTTTTAATTACTTTAAAATGACAAATGCACTTCACATGTGCTTATTAAAGAAGGGCGAGAGGAAGACGGCATGTTCTGAGACATAACTGAACGCCCGTCCCAATGCCATCTTTTGAAGTTCAAAGCATTAACTTCGTCTCCTCTGCAGACCAGTTTTTGCAAGCATTTCTTAAAAAAATAAAATTTAGGTAGGGTGGGCAGAATAATCAATAACTGTATTTTTTAAATAGAAAAAAAGAACAAAAATTGTATTTTCTTCTTAATAATAGAAATTTCACAACCCCATTTCCAAAAAAGTTGGGACGCTGTGCAAAATGTAAATAAAAACGAAATTCAGTGATGTGCAAATCATTTAAACCTTATATTGCATTGAAAATAGTACTAAGACAACAAATCAAACGTTGAAACTCAGAAATTTTATTGTTTTTTGAAAAATATATGCCCATTTTCAATTTGATGCCAATGACACGTTCCAAAAAAGTTGGGACAGGAGCATGTTTACCACTGCGTTTCATCACCTCTTCTTTTAACAGCACTCTGTAAGCGTCTGGGAACTGAGGAGACACTGCTGTAGTTTTGGAAGTGAAATGTTTTCCCATTTTTTGCCTAACATAGGATTTCAGCTGCTCATCAGTTCGGGGTCTCCTTTGTCATATTTTTCACTTTATAATGTGCCAAATGTTATTAGTGGTGACAGTTCTGGACTGCAGGCAGGTCAGTTTAGCACTCGGACTCTTTTAATACAAAGCCATGTTGTCGTAATACATGCAGAATGTGGTTTTTCATTGTCTTGCTGAAATAATCAAGGCCTTCTCTGAAAAAGATGTAATCTGGATGACAGCATATGTTCCCAAAACATTTATATCATTCAGCATTAATGGCGCCTTCACAGATGTGCACGTCACCCATGCCATGTGCACTAATGCCCCCCTACACCATCATGAATACTGGCTTTTGAACTGGGCACTGATAACAAGCTGAGTAATCTTTATCCGAGAGGACGCAGCATCCATCATTTCCAAAAAGAATTTCAAATGTTGATTCGTCGGACCACAGAACACTTTTCCACTTCACCTCAGTCCATTTTAAATGAGCTCAGGCCCAGAGAAGGAGGCAGCGTTTCTGGATCCTGTTTATATATGATTTCTTCTTTGCACTTAAGAATTTTAACTGGCATTTGTGGATGCAGTGACGAACTGTTTTTTACAGACAATGGTTTTCAGAAGTGTTCCTGAGCCCAAGCAGTGATTTCCACTGCAGAATCATGTCCGTTTTTAATGCAGTGCTGTCTGAGGGTCAAAAGATCACGGCCAACAAATACTGTTTTTTGGCCTTGTCCCTTACATACAGAGATTTCTCTTGAATTGTTGCACTATTTGATGGTGCAGTCTTTCACAGAGTGGTGAACCCCTCCTCATGTTCACTTCTGAAAGACTCCGCCTCTCTGAGATGCTCTTTTTATACCCAATCATGTTACTGACCTGTTGCCATCAACCATTAGGAGATTTTTTTTAGCATTACACAACTTTACCAGCCTTTTGTTGCTCTCGTCCCAACTTTTTTGGAACGTATTGTTGGCATCAAATTCAAAATGGGCACATATTTTTCAAAAAACCATAAAATTTCTCAGTTTCAACTTTTGATACGTTGTCTTTGAAGCATTTTCAATAAAATATAGGGTTTAAATGATTTGCACATCATTGAATTTTGTTTTTATTTACATTTTTCACAGCGTCCCAACTTTTTTGGGATTGTAAATAGAAAATATCCTGCTATTTATTTTTAGATATCATTCAGGCCAAAATGATATGTACCCATTTGTAGTCTGATGAGCAGTTTCTCAGGTGTTTGGTGAGTTTCCCAGTGTTAGCAATGTTTGGGATGACTTGGATTGTGAGAAGCAGAAACTGCAACCAACTTCTAATACTGAACTTTGGAGGGGTGGAAAAACATCCCGGCAGATTTCTTTGAAAAACCTAAACAAAATCTACTGAACTGAATGAAATGAATGGATGCTGTGATGAAGGCAAAGCATGGCCACACTAAACACTGAAAAACTGTACAACTAGTTGTTGCAGCTTCTGTGTACTGTGTACCCTGTTAATGAGATGTACTCACTCGTAGCCTGATGAGAGGTTTCTCAGGCGTCAGTGGATTCCCCAGTCTCTCTCTCTCCGCCTCCTCCAACATCTCCTCTACCTGACACATAAAAAACAAACAAATAACCATCCAAATAAACAACAAGCATCTAGAATCAATGAACTGGACAATTTTTTCTTCAGTGGACTAAAGTAGGATGAGTCATACTTCCTGTTCACTGCCACTTCAGACACTTTATCCAAAGCCCAGAGAACACAGAGTGCGTATGAGCTCCTCTTTTATTTGTTTAAGAATGTGCTTAGAGAGTCTGCTCAACAAGCCTGACATTCAGACTTTTCATCATCTGCGAAAACCTCTCAGCATTTCTGTGTGATGAGCCATTCTGTTTGGAGAGGAATAGGAACAGCACTTATGTGCCTGAAGCATTGTTCTGACCCACCGGGCAGAAACAACGGGATTTGTCTCATCAACCTCTGTTTATTTATCACTGTTCTTTACCCAAAAAGCTCACAGGTCTCATCAGACTGCCAGGGCTACAAACACTTCTGTTAGCTTTCAGGGTTACCGACACGTTCATGTAAAAGAGACAAAACCATGAATGACAATTACTTATAATAAAGGAAAACTGACACAAATTTTTGGTGCTGCTTAAAACGTATTGTGAGATCTGTTCTATCATAGATTTAGGAATCAAAATATGAAATTAAGAGGACTTAATTTCAGGATTTATATGCATGCTATACGTCCAAAAGCAGCAGTAGCAGTAGACATAGTGTAGAAGATGAAACAACAACAGCAGCTTTCAAAACCTCAGAAAATGATTAAACAGAGGAAATGGGACTCAAAACAAATGCAAAACTGTCCCCATCAGATAACCAGCCCTTAAAGCTTCCATCTTTGAGAGAGAGGAGAAAATTAAGCTGTCATAGATCTGAAAAAAAGTCATGCATGGTGGAGGATAAGTGCAGGGATATACATTCATTCATTTATCCTTCATTTATCATCTTTAACAGCTAAAGTCGCAGTAGCCATTGGGAGAGCAGAGAACCCCAGACAGCCCTGTCCCCCACAGCTTTCTCCAGCTCATTAACGGGGGACTCCAAATCGCTACCAGACCAACTTGGAGATATACTCCCTTCAGCAGTTCTTGGGACAACCTTGTGGGCTTGTCCCAGTAGGCCGTGTCTGATAAACCCCCACCAGGTGTCGCCAGGGGGTTATCTTAATCAGATTCTTAAACCACCTCAACTTCTGGCTCTACTCTGAGCTCCTCACCCTATCGAGCAGAGTGTAGCCCGCCACCCTGTGTGTGAGCAGTTTGTAGCTGAGTGTGAAGTGGTTGGTATGCAGATCAGCACCTCCAAGTCTGAGTCCATGGTCCTAGCCTGGAAAAGGATGGCATACCCACTCCAGGTAAGGGGAGAGGCCCTGCCTCAGGTGAAGGAGATTAAGTATCTCGGGGTCTTGCTGACGAGTGATGGGAAGGCGGGTTTTGTGATCGGCCGCAGGCTCGGACAGGGGCAGCAGTAACGCGGTTGCGGTCCTGGACTGCAGTGGTGAAGAGGGAGCTGAGCCACAAGGCAAAGCAGGAATCTTCCTTTAACGCACTGTGTGGAATCTTGCATCGTCTTGAGAGAATATCAGAGCTGGTTTAAGAGTCCGGCCTCTTCCTGTTTCCCCCGTTATATCAAAAACAGCCGAGGGCACCCGCGAGTGAGTCCTCAACGAATGGAGGTGAATGGAGGTCAACAGCTAAAAACGTAAAGTTAAAATACTTTCTAATCACTCAGCCAGAACTTTGCTGTAATTTTACAAAGATGTGTTTTACTAAAAAAGCAAAGAAAACCTGTATGTTTCCTTGTTCCTACAGCCAACGAGTTTGGGACAACAGGACGCTAACGTTACTGTTGACTGGCTGGCGAGTGGAGCAGCTCATTGGCTGTTCACGCTCACTGACGTAATGAATGTACATGAGGCCCCGTTTCTCGAGTTTAAAAGCTCTTTAAAATATAACAGCAGTGTTAAAACGTTCCATGCTATTCAGTGTTTAGGAAATGAATCTATGCTTTTACATTAAAAACGTTTAAGCATTTACAAACTATGATTTTGCTCAAATGCTCCAGCTTAACCCATTCATTTTGGACTCGCTCGGGAGCGCCCCCTAGTGTTTGAGAAACCCGGAAAACATTACAGAGTAGCAATTCTCCTCTCTCTACAAGTTCTCTGGGAATGTCCATCATTTGTTGTCAGTCAAGTGAACAAACAACTGTGTATGAGCAATTCTTTCTAACTTGTCAGTGTACACAGACATATATACACATATATGACCCTCCTGACACGGAAAAAAAAACAAGTGTGCGGGTTTCAGTAGCACACAGCTTACAGAGTGAGGCAGCGTTTCCAGGGTTACAGATCATCACAGGCTTGCAGGTGAGTTTTAGACTGAACAGATTTAATGAGGGCTTCAGTGCCTAATGAAAAACACATAATGTATTAGACTAAACCGTCCTGCTATTTGTCCCTCATTTCTAAACATAGATGTTTTGACTTTCCATACAGCACACAGCATCCTGAGCACAGCGACAGAAAAACAAACCGTTATCATTAGATTGGCCTTTTTAAAAGCTGTGGTGAAAAAAAGCTTCAGTATACTGATTAAGTCATGTAATTTGTAATGAGTACTAGATTATAATCCTGCATTACATGTTTACTTCCAGAAAATGGACATATCCTGACCTTTATATGTGGTAATATAGCACTAAAAATATTAATATGAATGAAAATGTACACTATGATCTTCATACGCTAAATATTGCACTGTGGTCAGGAAAATGAAAATGTACATTTTCTGTACTTTCTACGCCAAATAACACTGAGAATGTGAATGTAAACGTACACTTCATTATCTTAATAAGCTGAGAACATGCATTTAAATGAAAATGTACTTTTTATGAACTTACATGCTAAACACAGCGCTGTGGTCATGAAAATGAAAACGTACATCTGATCTTTCTATGCCAAATATAACACTGAGAACATAAACGTGAATGAAGTGTACATTTTCTGATAATAATAAGCCAAATATAGCACCGAGAACATACATTTAAATGGAAACACGCATTCTCTGAATAATGATAATGGTGCATGAATCAGACCTCTACTTTCTCGTGCATGTAAATGGCCTGTTAGAAAGACCGTGTCTCAGAGTGGAAGTCTGGACACCGCTGTGTGAGTGGACCTTGAAAATACATTACAGTGAAGTAGAAAAATCCTTTTGCGAGTTCTGTGTGTATAAATTGAAGGCTTATTTTGAAGTGAGTGTGTCCTTATGTGTGTGTGTATAGTACGGAGAATCACACATGTAACACATAGATATGCTATTGTTACATATACAATTACAGCGCAAAAGTCACAAACCACTGTCGGAACCAAGAGCTACTTCTCCTTGCCCAAGGTTCAAACATATAAAGGGTATCTCTAATGCATTCTGTGCTATAGACCTATTTTCTTAACTGTAGTCCAACTTCTTTGAAAGAAATCAAAAGAATAAGAGAGTATCCGTAAAAAGGAATAAAAAGACTTCAGCCGCTGGGTTCTCGTGGAAGGAAGGAAAAGGCCTTCTTCTTTATTGAGCTTGAGTGGCAAAATGGTTCCCGGCCAACCACAATGCAAAGAACATCACGAAACATCCTTTTTTATATCCTGTTTGATGAAGTAATCACCCCTCCCTTTTACACAATTCCATATCATCTTGGTCCCCATTATATCCAAACTTTGCACTTTTCTTGGAAACCCTTATTTCCAAACGAACATGATATCATTTTATTATTTTTTTTTAATCATCTTAGCTTGTCTGTACCAAGCCGTTCCATCCTCTCAAGGCTATTAATTTAACTATTACATTATTGAACTGACGCCCAAACTGGTTTCAACAGGTTCTTATCAGCTTACTCTACTCTTTGAGGGTCAGCCTGCCCTTTCTTTTACTGTGTCAGCAAATGCCCACAGGCTTCTAGAAGCTTCTGTAGCTTCAGGGACTCTTCAATGTCAAAAATCCCTTATGCAGACAAACTAAGACCTATCCTTTGCGAGAGGATTTATATTATTTGTTCATCAACTCTACCTGTTCGATATAACCAAAATAATATTTCAATATTTATTCAAAATATCCGTCACCATCCTTCATTTAATTTTATTTCCAGCCAAAACTGTCAGTAAGTGCTATTTACTCACTTTTCACGAGGTATTTCTGAGATAATGTAATCCGCTTGCAGAAGGAAAAAGAAAATACAGGAGTTTCCAGAAGTGGAGACTCCAAACAACTGAGCAAGACCTGCCTGACCACCAAAACTGTGCGTAGCTGTCAAGAAGCTGTTACTAGGAGAACAGGGAATAGACAGAAGGGAAGAAAATTTGGAAAACAAATAAGGAAGCTTCTGCTGTTCTTTATTTGATTTGACACAGTAAGTGCTGAAAAAAATCATTATATAAAGTTACTGAGGCTTCTAAGTAAGTAAGATTGAGCAGATTCAGGTTTTTAAACTTTAAGTATTTTCAATAGAGATGGCTCTGTACAGTTAGGAGCCCTCCACGTTTTACTACCAAGCTTTAAAATGAGCTCTTTTTACTCAAAGTTCTTCATCAAAGATGAACTTCTAACAGTAGACTATTATGCTGAATCTACTCAAATGTGCCAATACAGCAGGGACGGACTGGCCATCGGGAGGACCGGGACAATTCTCAGGAGGCCACCACTATGTGCGTGGATCATTGAGGGGGTAAGAAAGAGAAAAACGCACAGTCATTGTCCTGCTGTAGTCCTATATAAAATAAACCGAGGCGACCCGGGACAAACACCATGCGCTGGGCAAATTCTGGACTGCATATATGTAGACATGTTAGTGGTCGACTGCACTCTCAGTGTGTGGCCATTGGCTAATCACGCAAAAGGCTGCCGCCCCCAGAACAAAGCGAGACTGAGAGAGACTGGGAACTAAGAAGTGCAATGGGGACGCAGGGTGTGTGACAAAAAACAGATGCAAGACAAAAATAAATGAAAACACACGATGTGTTCGGACATCAGAGCAAGGAACTCTGAG